AATAATAGACAAAATTAAATAATTGACATTTTTTTATTTTCCAGAATCAAAGAACACATACACAGCACATAGTTACAAGGAAACATATTTCAAGGTACAGCATTACTAAAACTTTAGTACAATTAATGAAAAGAAAATATTCCATAAGCTTGAAAGAGAAAAATCAGGTACAACAGAAGGTTCAAGAATTAGATGAATTTAAGATTTCAACAGTAATATGGAAATCTAGAAAATCCACTGGGTATGGTGGTCCACGCCTATAATTCCAGCTACTCAGGAGCTGAGGCAAGAGGATCACAAGTTTAAGGACAGCCTCAGCAATTTAGCAAGACCCTGTCTCCAAAAAAAGGGGGTGGGGCTAGAGATGTAGCTAAGTAGTAGAGTGCCCTGGGTTTAATTTCCAGTACTAATGAAAGAGGAAAGGAAGAAAGTCGGGAGTGGGGGTACTGAGGGAAGAAGAAAGAAAAAGAAAAAGAAAAAAGGAAACCAGAAAATCCTAGCTTCATAGAAAAAACTATTTCCAATCTAAAATCCCATGACAAACTATCAGACAAATGTGAGAAAAGAATCTGATACAGAAGTAAAAAGAGTCTCCAAAATGTGAGTAAAGGAGACCCCAGGATGACAGTTGTACACAAGCTGTAGAGATCAAAAAAACTCCATTTCAGTTTTCCAATATGCTATTTGTTGGTCTCTACACCTTTCAGAGTACTCTAAGGAAAATTTCTTCAAGAGCACAAAACTGATAGAAACCCAGGTGCAGTCAAAATTATGAAGAGGATTTTTAACTCAGCTGGCAACATTTGGGGTCAAGTCAATAATAAATACACTTTTAAAAAACCAACCAAATATATAAATGACAACTATTAAAGAAGTAACAAATGTTGCACAGAAGAACAAAGTAATGATATGATACTATATGGGTCAGGTGTGAATAGTGTTTATATAGATTTGTTAATATAAATACTGAATTTAAAATTAAATAAATTTATATATATGTATACATATATATATACATAAATATATTAGATGAGTGGATAAATATGGGGAAATTGAGTATGTTGGGGACACAGAAAAATGAAAAAGAGCTAAATCCTTATTCTTTTAAGTAGGAAGTTTACTATGCCTGCTCAAAATTCTAAAATATAATGTTTAAGTTCTTGGAGGTTGCCAAAACAAAGAAATCATAAGTGTTAGGAAGATTGAAAACTTAATTACCTGACTTGATCGTCGTTATATATATATATATATATATATATATATATATATATATAAATCATCACACTGTTTCCATAAATATATATAATTATCATATCAAATTTTTATTTAAAAAATCAATAAGTAGCAAAGTAAACATGTTATTAAATATTTATAATATTTATAAATATTATAAATATTAGAAATCAGATAAAACATTTAAAATGATTACCTCCAGAAAAGCTGGGGAAGGACTGAGGCTAGAAGCTACTTTTTATGTAATAAGCTTCATAAATCTTCATAAGTCTTAAAATTATGGGAATAGGGTAATTTTAACCAAATGAAATTTAGACAAATGAAAGAATAGATAGTGAGTAATATGTTATACAATAAGAAGATATCAAAAACAATATACTTAATTAAGAAAAATTAAATACTGATAGAAGGATCAATGTCAGGATGTCAGAATCCTTTACAAATTATAAATTAAATATTATCCTTTTTTTAAATACTAGAGAGTGAACCCAGGGTGTTTTTTCACTGCACTATATCTCCATCCCTTTTTTATTTTTTATTTTGACACAGGGTCAGCAGAAGACCTCACTGAGTTGCTGAGGCTGGTCTCAAACTTGTGATCCTACTGCCCCAGCTTCCCGAGTCACTAGGATTACCAGCATATGGCTGGCACATATATTTAATATTACAATCTTGTTTTAAATTTGACTTTACGCTGCAATGTATTAAGTGTAAGATAAAAGAAAAATTATGATAGTCATATTACATAATCAACATTAACAAGGTATATGTAAGAACATTATATCTAATATTTTATCCTCCCTGATTTAGAGGGTTCAACAAAATCTCAAAATCCTTTGTAAAACTTATAAATTAGGATTTAATTTAAATACACTATATTTTCAACAAAACTTGCTATAGCAACAAGAGGTCCCTTACAAACATCTTCATACGGTTGCTGTAGTTCATTCAAAGCAAATACAATATCACCAATATCCACCATCTGGTTACCTGTAATAGAAATAAATAAGTTCAAATACTGTATTTACTTCTGAACACAGATATAGTTTTCACTATATAGGAAGTGGGGACAGAGAACCAGCTATTATGAGTTTTGAATGTTTGAAATTATGAATAAATGAAGTGAAATATAAAATTAAGATTATAGTTTTGCTTCTTAATAAGAGTTTTTCATTGAAATAGTAGAATTTTAAGCTTCTCTTCTAGATAGTCTATATAACATTTTATTCATTTTACATTTTTTGAGCATTTGCTATAGGTAGTATTTATTTACTCTTTTGTCTTAATTTCTAAATTGTGAGCGCTTCAAAAATAGAGAATGTGTCCTTTACTTCTGTTTCCCCAATGCCTAATAAAGTACCTAATTCCTATCATTTCAAAATTATTTTCAAACAAATAAAATATACTGGAGGCTATAAATCATGCTAAATAAATAGCAAATAACCATTTATTTAGTACCTTCTATGTACTCATATTTAGTACCTTCTATGTACTTTAACTTCCTACCCATCCTTGCCGCCACCCCTGTCTAAAGCCATTTTTCTTCTCAGGCAATGCATGACCAAGAACAAGCTCAGATGCAGTGATTAAATAATGTCATTCCAATCATGCACAGAGGTAGTATAAAAATTTTTTCACCCAAGTATTGGTTTCCCTTGTCGTCCAAGGTGAAAAGGCCCAAAAAATAATTCAGTATTATTACCTATAATAATACTGAATTTGTTCTTTAGTCCACTGTTCAATAATATGCTCACTAGCACACTGAGAGAAGTGGTTTTTAAGTGACTTCTGAATCTAAGAAGAATTAAATTAGGTGCAATATAGTTTAATGTTGAATAAGCTTGATTCACTCTGATTCTCTGAAAATTGATAAAGCTATGTATGTCAAGTACAGGCCTTCAAATTACTGCAAAGCAAGTATATATTTGAACCAATCAAAGAAATGTTAGACCAAATTGATGTTAAATCACCTTCTGATCTGGAATTGCAGCCTACATTCTAGTTACTCACTTCCTTAGTATTTTATCTCATTCTGTTCTTGATTATGGTTCTCTACCATATCCCGTCATCTACCCAGGAAATTCCTTCCTATTAAGATGATTTTCATAATTAAAAGACAAGTACCTTCCTTATGAGAATTGCAGCCAACTTATAAATATGACAAAAGGAAGGACATATTATTCTTTCTAATTGGAAATGATGGAATAAGAGGTCAGAATTATTAATTAATTCAACAAGTATTTGTTGAGCAATTAATATGCACTAAAAGCATTTTTCTAGGTACTGAGAATATAGTGTTAAGCAAAAGTGGACATGTTATCTGTCCATTTGGTGTTTAGTTTCATTTAAGATACAAATGTTAAAAAAATTAAAAATATACTTTGCAACTGTAATTAGTACTATGAGAGTATATAACATGAGATAGGTGAATAAGAAAATCCTTGAAGAATAGATGGTTAAATTTCGATCTAAAGTGTTAAGTAGGAAATGACTAAAGTATAAGTAGGAATTAAGTAAAAGAGAAATGTTCAAGGATGAAAAAATAATATATGCAATGGGTATATGAAAGGAAGGGGCTTGATGTATATAGTTGAAGTTCTAAAAAGGCACAGAGCAAGGGAGAATAGGTCTGAGGTAAAGCTGAAGATCTGGGTAAAGGTCAGACCATGCAAGGCCTTATACATACATCACCTTAAAGCCACCCTAAACAGCTCTTGGCCAAGAGCTATTATTGGATTTTATGCAAGGAGAGTAACAAGGTCATATCTGTGCTTTGAAAACATCATTTTATTTGCAGCATAAAAAGGATAAATGTGGATATGAGTAGATTTGCAAGGATGAACTGCAATTTTCCTAAGAAAAGTTTATAGTAACTTGAATCAAAATGGAGAAATAGAATGATTTCATAGATATCTAGGAGTTTAAAATAAGTGAACTTTTCCAGGCACAGTGATGCAAGCCTGTAATCAAACCCAGTGACTCGGAAGTCTGAGGCAGGGGACTGCAAATTCAAAGTCAGCCTGGGCAACTGAGCAAGACTCTATCTAAAAATAAAAAATAAAAAGGGCTGGGACTATAGCTCAGTGGTAGAGTGTCCCTAGGTAATAGCCCCAGTACCACAAAAATGTATACATACACACATACATGCATAAGAGAACTTTATAATGATTGCTTGAGAATGAGAAAGCAATGAAGTTGTCAAAGATGACTCTTAGGTTTTTGCTTCACCTTCCTTGAGCTTGTTCACAGTGCCAAGCACTGTGATACTTGTTCATATTTAATTCCTATAATAATCCTATGAAAATATTATCATTTGTCCAGCCTATTTCTGCAAATAGAGCAGGAGATCTGGAGACCCAGACTAGAATTTCATAAGCCAAAAAGCAAAGTGTTGCAACAGTTTCATGTATGATTTCTCTTGCTCCTGGTAGGGTATATCCTAAAGAATGTTTAATAATATGTCTTATTATACTTAAAATCTCTATTTTATACATATTTTCATATTCCAATATATCCCTCTACTAATGTTACCTCCAGAGCCCAATAACAACCTAACAGAACTCTATGACACCTGATTCTACCTCCAGACCACATATCAGCAGCCAAACACCTATTACAAAGCCACCACTAATATACAAAACCAGTGAAACTCATTGAAAAGGATGCCATGTCTGATTATTTTTCTTTCATATTTATATAAACTGTTCTCTCAATCTAAAATGTTTTTCTCACCCTTTACCGCTTCTGTTAACCAATTAATCCCTATTAATTCTTCAAGATTTAGCTCAGACATTATCTCCTCTGATAATTTTTCCCTGGGGCTTCCAATATGTATTAGCAGCCTATGTACATTCTATTACAGTACTTGTCACAGAGCATTACTTGACTCTTTCACACTAGAATGTGAGCTTCCTTAGAACAAGAACTGTGTTCTATTCTACTTTGTATCACCTAGCACAGGTCCAAGTACAATAGATATCAAATTAGCGATTATCTGACTCATTAAATGAATGAATTAAATCAGTTAATCAATCACTAGTCTGTTTATTAGAGAACATCCCTTGGACAAATGTATTTAATATAAAACATCTGCTAAATATATTTATAATATTTTAAAGTAATCTACATTGTGCAAACAGTAATTGAACAGCATAGCAATTAATCCAAACTACATAATAAAATTGAGAATTCAAGAAATTTAGGTCTTGTAGTGCCAATACTCTTGATACTACAAGAAACTACCTCTCTAAAAAAATAAGAAATAACTATTGAAAAGTGAGATGATGTTATAAAAAAGTTTAAATCCATTTTACTCTTAGGCTTTTACCAAACATATCAAAAATAAAACATTTTGTTTAAGTTTTCAAGACTATCTTTTACTATAAACACCAGTAAGCAGTGGCAGTGGCAGAAGGTTAAGAATCAAGAATGAAAACACAGAAACAAAAGATAAATCACAAAATTAGTATCTAAAATTCAAGTAACTCACGGTCAGTATAGGAATATTTGATCACTTCCTGCAGTGTGTCAGGGTTTACAAAGATATTCATGCTACTCAAAACAGCAACCACTTCATCAGTAGGAACCCGACCATCTTTTATCCTAGAAAAAATCTCCAAGGCTTTCTGGAATGCTGTGAAAAACAATAAACAAAGAAATTTTTGTACCACAAGAATTAACAGCTTTCCCTGGATAAAAAAAACTGATTTTGTGTCAGTGACCATATAGGGAAAATAACCTTACATAAGCGTGAGGTTTTCTAAATATTCACCTATAAGTAGGCATTTTCCAATTCTGGTCACATTTCTAGAATAAATTCTAATTTTTGCTATTATAAATATTAATATAATATCAATAACAATAGCTAGTATTTATTGAATATTGATCATGTGTCAGAAACTGCACTAAAAGCTATGAGTTAGCTCATTCAATCATCACAAAAGGCTTTTATCTCTTTACAGATATGAAAACTAAGGCTTAAAAAGTCCCCTTCAACTCACAGCTAGTATGCAGAAAAGTCAAAATACTAATCTAACAATATTAATCCACAATTCTTGCTTTTAATCACTATACTATTTAACTCTTAAAAATTTTAATTACGACAATTTCTTACCAATGGTATAATCCACAATAGCAAATCATTTAATACACAATCTGAAGGAGTTGTTAATTGCTTAAAAATGAAAAGAAGAATGATAGAGAGGCGAAATTTCTTTTCAGCTGTTTTATCATATTACAAAGAGTTTAGCAGTAGTTTAACCACTACTATAAGGTTTCTTTTTTCTCAGAAATTTAACATTATTATGCTAGCAATTCTAACATCAAAAATGAATTGGAGATGCTAGGGCTATAGCTCAGGAGCAGAGCACTTTCCTCACAACATGTGAGGCACTGGGTTTATTCCTCAGCACCACATAAAAATAAATAAAATAAAAGTAGGCTGTCCATATACAACTGCAAAAAAAATTTTTAATGAATTATAAACATGGTTAGAAGAAAATGCATACACCAATCAAGAATTTTCCACTAAAAAGCTTTCCTGAAAACTTAAATGGAAAGCTGTGTCCAACTGCTAAATTAAATACTCCTCTGACAACTACATCCCTTAATTTACCTTGATTAAAACACACACACACACACACACACAAAATTTCCTTAACTAACTCCAGAAAGAAAATCACTTTATAGTCAGATTAGATTTTCTTGGAATTCAGGATACAATAAGCATAATGATCCTCAGTCTTTGGATAAACACAACCAAGAAGGGAAACCGAGCATTATGTATTC